TTCTTCGCAGGCTGAACCTCGAGGGGCTTGTGCCTGGTCCGATGACTCTTCCCAGCGTTCAAAATATTATCCACCAGTTGTCACGGCGTAGAAGGGCATCGCCACTTGTGGAATACGACAACCGAAGTGAGACTATCCTATCACAGAGATATGCCAGCCCGAGACGTTTCGATGACGAATTTAATTTAATACATATATTGCGCAATAGCGTCTGATCCCCTCAAAATCCTTGCTCATATGACCACGGCATCCGGACAGTGGGATGAAACAGGGGGAGTTTCTTCAGGCTTTCCGGCAAGGGATACCGAATACCCGGGCATGCAATTTGCGGGGTGATCTCAGAATTGGTCGAGCCTTTCCTTTCTTGATTCGGACATAGCAGGGTATTCTGTAAGGTGTGAAGAGTAAATGCACGAACAGCCGACAGTTGCAAGGATTTCTCCGTGGGGAAATCAGACTAGTCATGCATCATCCTCTATATGCACCTATCTTCGGCACATCAACATCCCTGCCGTTGTCCATGACCTTCGACACTGATGTGGAGTCTTCCCGTCTATCCTGTCACTCTATCGTTCTTATGGCGCAGTCTAGCCTGGGGCCATCCGAGTTTCTGGCGATATATTTGAATTGATATATGTTGCATTATTGACGGGAATTTTCACTTGCAGCAATTAGGCCTCGTTTGCGTGATACATCACTGGTACGCAATTTATCCCGCTCAACGAGGCGCCTGGACGGCCTATTCTACTGGGTAGCTGGACGGCATGGACTTGACTGTCTTCTGGCACCCAGTATGTCACGGTCCGGCCCCGGAACGGACTACAATATCCAGTCTCAATTGTTGTAATGCTGGCTAAAATGAATTATTATGATATAAAGCCACTAATCTCATGGCTCACTCCAATGTTCTCTTCCTTCAACTGGAAGCAATCTACTTCACTTTTTGTCTATCACTTCTTCTGAGTGTACAAGCACCTACCCCCGGTCAGCATGAGACACGTTCAATCCACTCAGCTGCTTGCAGCACTTCTCTTTACCACTCAAGCCGCAGCTCACGGCCATGTTACAAACATTGTGATCAACGGTGTTTCCTACCGCGGATGGAATATTGATTCTGATCCCTACAATCCTAATCCGCCGGTGGTGGTAGGATGGCAGACCCCCAACACGGCAAATGGCTTCGTCTCCCCAGATGCGTATGGAACGAGCGATATCATCTGTCACCTCAACGCCACCAACGCGCGCGGGCATGCTGTGGTCGCTGCCGGCGACAAAATATCTATTCAATGGACGACTTGGCCAGATTCTCACCATGGGCCGGTATGTCCTCTTCATCCTGGCCGGGCTCCGCTCGACAACGGACTCGTGATGCGAGCTAGGCCAAGATATCTGTCGAACAATTGGTTATGATATTAACTCATTACAGGTGATTGACTACCTGGCTAGATGCGGTTCGAGCTGCGAGACGGTAGACAAGACGACTCTGGAGTTCTTCAAGATTGATAGTGTTGGACTGGTGGATGACTCAAACCCACCGGGGGTCTGGGGCGACGATCAGATGATCGCCCATAACAACACGTGGCTTGTGGAGATTCCCCCGACGATTGCACCGGGCTATTATGTCCTTCGACATGAGCTGATCGCTTTGCATGGAGCTGGAAGTCAAAACGGAGCCCAGAACTACCCCCAATGTTTTAACCTGCAGATTACAGGATCAGGGACGGCGCAACCATCCGGTGTGAAGGGTACAAAGCTCTACTCATCCACGGATCCGGGTGTTCTGGTCAATATCTATAGCTCGCTTTCGACGTATATAGTTCCGGGCCCGACTCTCATTCCCGGTGCTGTATCCGTCGTGCAGTCCAGTTCTACCATCACTGCTTCGGGAACGCCTGTGACCGGCTCTGGAAGTGCCCCAACTACCACTGGGCCGACAACCACAAAGGCAACTACAACACTGTCCACGACAACCAAGGCTACGACGACCAAAACAACGACTACGGCGGGCGGTTCGACTTCTGTTCAATCGGTCTACGGCCAGTGCGGTGGCAGTGGATGGTCTGGACCCACAGCCTGCTCTACCGGAGCCACATGCAGTTCCTATAACAGCTACTACTCCCAGTGCATTCCAACCGGCTCCTAGGTGCGCCCAAGTGCTTTGGGAAATTCTGAGGCCTGCAACACCGTTGTGTACATGAATCTAGGTAGTTTGAACAGCCGATAACAGATCAACTGAGTATGGAACTTGTTTCGCTCTTGATTTGAATCCTCGTCCACCCATTCTGGAGTGGATCTCCAGTAGCTCCTGTTTTTGGCAGACCGAGTTGAGCTTGCCAGACGGTCTTGTATGATTGTCTACACCTTCTAGAGCTTCGTGTCTGCCCATACCAAGAAGTATGCGTATCTCATGACACCACGAACGCATCCGCTCAAGAAATGTCCTTCCATTCGAACTTCTCCAGCCCATTCTGGGCTATGCAGTGTGCACATGGGCTTGGGGTGGTAGTCCCAGGGAGAAGTACGTCTTTCCACCGAGGAAGTATAGGTTAATGAGAAATTGTTGGATGCGGGTTTGGTTATCCGGTACAAAGGAGAATGTTTGTACAACACCCTTGTGTCAGCTGTTTCGTCCTTCCTGACACTTGGATACGTTGGCTGCAAATAGAGAATTGAGTCTGACGACCTATTCGGCTCTCGTATATGCCATTGGATGAGTTATATAATGAGGAGGGCATATGAGCTGACTCGATTCGTTTAGAGAATTGGTGCTCGAAAGCGGCTAGGTCTTTACACCAAGATACTCTTGATATCCTGGAATACGACACGCTGCTGCTCCTCAGCGGCAACAGCTTTAGCCCAGCAATCAGTCTCCTTGTTCAATTCTCGCGGAATGCGCCCGAAGCTAATCTTATGCCGTTGTCAGCCCATCTTTCACACTCTCCGAGCAGGCACGGCCATATGTCTCTGTTCTTAACGGGTTCTCCAGTGCTTGTCTTCCACCCTCTGCGAATCCATCCGTGGATCTAGTTGGTCGCACATTCAACAACGTACTCTGTATCCGTCGCAAAGACCAAGCTCCGACACCCTTCTCTATCCCAACTGCGGAATTTGGACGCTCCAATGACGACCCGAAGCTCAGCACCGTTGCTGGAATCCTTATGGGACTGACCTGTCGGCCCTTTATCCTCAAATTGGAATGATACATGGCCAAACCTGTTAGCTGTAGAGGGCTTGAATATAAAGGCACAGCTTCCTCTCGGTTAGCCAGCGCCATTGTTAAAGCAGGCTTCGTCAGGGAAAATTAGGAATTTAGACGGTTGGTTGGGATTGATATATCCCTTTTCCCCTGGAAAGTTTCCCCTTGGGTGATTAATCTCACCGACTCGAAGGGCAAATATGGAAAATACCTCATGCTGACACAATTGATGGTTGGTTCTACGCGTTCTTAATCTTTGCTATAGCAACAGCCCCTCACTAATTTATGGGAACAGCCACAGTCTATGAGATTTGTGGGAGTTTCTTTGATCCCGTCTATGCGCTACTAGCTCCCATTTCCTGACGGTATTTGACAGTGCATTCGAAGCCTGGATTGGATGATGATGATGGCTTTCTCAGAGTAATATGAAAGCGATAATTGGAAACGAGTTATCCAAGTTTCTGTTGTAGCCAGCTATCAACGGAACTGTGGATAACATAGCTCATCTATTGAACGTGGCCATTGCTCTCTTCATACAGCAATCCCCTTCCAGATTTTCGTCCAAGAAGCCCCCGATCCACGTACGTTTCCTTCAACCACTCGATAGGCTTTGAATCGAGCCCTCTCTCCTCCACATAATGCTTCTCAATGTTGTACACCGTGTCCAGACCCACCCGGTCCATCATTTCACACGGCCCAACGTCAGCATGAAACCAACCTTTGAACAGTTGATCAATATCTCCTGCCGTTCCCACACCTTCAGCCATGACCAAGAGAGATTCTCGTTTGATTGCAGCCCAAATCCGATTGAAGATCAGCCCCGTGGATTCCACCTTGGCATGGATGGGGACAAATCCCGCGGCGGAGGCATGCTCCATTAGAAACGCAATGATGGATGGATCCGTGTATCCGCAGGTCATGATCTCAAGATAGTTCTGGTCCGGAGGCATGTAGTAGTGTCCGTTACACACGCGGTATTTCCGCGTGACGTGCTGAATCATCTCACTGGACTTATACGAGGAGGAGTTGGTGGCCAGAATACAGTCGTGTGGTGTGAGTTGGTCCAGTTGGCCGAATAGTTCAATTTTCAAAGGAAGGATCTCTGGGATTGCTTCGATAACCATCCATGCGTTCTGCACTGCATTCTCCAGAGAGGAACAGAGTAGTACGCTGCCTTGCTTCGTGCCGAGTTTGGTAGACTGTTCGGGCATTGCGTCGTTGATGTACTTAAATGCCGCGCTGGCGACTTCAGGGGCTTTTTCATACAGATGAACAGTATGCCCTGCTGCTGCCCACATCATGCATAATCGACGCCCCAGAACCCCGCCGCCTATGACGGCGACAGGGCGGGTGGCTGTATCGGGCTCGATCCATGAGGCTGAGATCATCGTGATACAGTTGTGGTAGCCTGGCAGGGTTTTATTCTAGGGATTGAAATTAAGGATAGAATGCTCTAGGGACTAAGAAATAGGACATTCGAGAATTGCTATAAATACAGGATCAGGCATGCAAAAGATTACGGCCCCATTGGCATTTGGATCATCGCAGTGATTTAGTTCCGACACATATACGATAGTACGTAGTACCGCAGCGCCCATAACCCCCACGTCCCACATGGCTTACCCCAAATTCACGTGATAATTCACACTATTTACTTGATTGGCTCGTACCTTGTTCTCGGGCATCTTTTAGCGTTGGGGTGGTGGGGTAACAGCATCAGGGCCTCGATCCTCTCCCACATATTGGGGCGAACTTGTCCTACAGCATCCAATTCTACCCTTTTCATCGACCCCATTCATCATGAATGATGGCAACTCCGTCTGGGGCTTACTTGCCCACCCAACCGCCACCTATCCTTGAGCCAATCCCCCATTACCCCAGCAATGTCGTCCCAGAAGAGCGGGTCACATTGCGCATGGCCATCATCCTATCCAATGGTTTGTAGTTTTCAGATTCCCTAAAGTCCGCCGTATTTGGACTAATTCTGTGGCACAGGTGTTCGGGTAGACCACCAATTCACATTCCCCGCCATGAACATCGCCAATTGTATCATCCACGGCGAAGGGGAAATGTACTCGGTAGAAATCACCCACCGCTGCACCTGCCGACGTCTATTGCATGAGGAGCTTGTCCGGATGCTCCCCGGGTTCCTACGCGAAAATGACGTGTATTGGTTCCGCACCAGGAACCCAGAGACAAACATCCAGCATACGTGCTTATTCGACGGAGCGGAACTCGAAATGCAGCTCGTGACCTCGCATGTCCCCGAATGTGGCTTTTGCTTTGCGCGTCGAGCGTTTATTGCCGAGCGGGATGCCTTTGACCGGCAACAGAGCCAGATGCCTCGGGGCTCGGCATCGTCGACTTCCCCGCGCGCCCAGAGTCTGAGCTCTGGGTGGACGTTCCGCGAACCGTCGGATACGGAGCGATTACGGGTGAATCGTCATGGGTGGGAGATTATGTTTGTTCTTCACCCTGATGCGCGCGAGGGGGTGGTAAGTATCTCGAGGTTGAGGATGGAGCTGTGTCGGTTGTTGTCCATTGCTGACCCGAGGCGGGTCATCTTGACGAGCGGTCCATTCACCTGGGGAGGAGATTTCCAGGAAGATGGTAAGGATTACTACAGTACGTATTTTGTAAATGATTTGATCGTCGAGTCGCGGAGTATGAAGACGCCGAGGGGAAGCGCTCTCATGTACGTACTCGAGGCAGATCTAATAGGACAGCCATTATAGCAATCATTTTAACCTGTCACGAATCGTTGCAACCTTGTAAAAGAAAGAAACAATTCGTGAATGTGAACTGTAAAGCCTTAAAGCCTCCCCACGTATTGAGGTTACATCTATTTACCATGCACAGACCGGGTGGACCAGTCAACCCCGCAGTGTCGACCCCACAAGATTTGTCCAGAGTTTACCTCTCGTACGTTCGTTCTTGGCGAAAAGGATGAAAGGAACTGGGGGTTAAAGAGATCAAAAATCGTAGTTCACCCCATGAGTGCTTCTAGACTCTGGACTTGGACTTTCCCCAACTGACACCCCACCGGCAATGTCGACTGTTCCCGAGAACCCTACCCGTCCCCACCGTTGTGTTTACTGCGGCCTCTGCTTCAAGCGATCAGAACACCTGAAACGCCATGTGAGGAGGCGTACGTCTTGGCTTCTTTTGGACCCTGTCAAACACTTGATGAATTTCTTGCTGACAGTTAATGTAGACACCAAGGAACGACCTTTCCGTTGTCGAATATGTGGGGAGAGCTTTTCCCGGAAGGAATTGCACGACCGGCACCAACGCACCCGCCATGGCGCGACTTCAAGCATTCCATTACCAGAGATAGTAGAACCCGAGCCATCTGCACCTGCTCATCCAGATTCTTACTCGCCAGGGCAGGTTGATCCTGTTCAAGATGACCCGTCGAGTCGACCACCATTCGCCTCCTTCGTCGAGGACCCGGCGGAGCCGTCATTGAATGCTCCTTTAGTGCCAGAGACACAGCGACATGAAAGCCTTTATTTGACCGGAACTCCGGGTAGTCCTGCATTCCAGGAAAATGCGTACTCTGTGATCTCCGATCGGCGTCGAGACTCTCGATTCCAGACGCCCCTAGGAAGCGAGACTCCTCCCTGGTTGAAATTACCAAGCGGGCTGGAGTTCGCGTCGCTTCTCTCAGCATTGAATAGATCTCCATTATCTACAAGTCTTCCGACACCACTCCGGCTGTGCACACCGCAGAGTGAAGCGATCTTTGAACATGACCGAAACGAGACGGCCCGCTTGGGGATCGAAAAAGCGCTTGAGGGGTTGAGGGTGCGTTCTGCGGATACGAATAGCTATCGGATTATGCTGATTTAGTCAGAGTATCAATATCGCAGGTGGCGGGGAATATTCCCATCGCTTCAAGATCCCTGAGATGGATTCTCTCTACCGCTACTGGCACATGTTCTTCGAGATACCTCATAAGAACCTTCCATTTGCTCATCCGAAGTCGGAAATCTATCAAATACCGGGTACAAATATCCTTCCCGTTCGGGTATATTCTACTGACACAGAGTAGCTATCGCTATTGGTGTTCTCGCCGACGGTGCCATGTACTGTGACGAACCCGAGGTCGGCCAAATGCTGTTTGAGGCCTCCCGTCGTCTTGTCGCTCATCACGTAGGTCCAATGTGTTCTCCACAGTGCACAGACTTATCAATTATAGTTGAACACGCTTTATGACCGCGAAAACAATACCATACCTATCTGGATCTTCACCACGCTCTTGCTGAACTGTGTCTTTGGTCTACCCGGCGGCAAGTCTAGTGAGAGCGACATTACCCTTGGCAGCCTTGACAGCTTGATAAACCTCGCGCGAGTTATCGAATCGGGCCCGGCAATGGATCTTGTCGATCAGGCATCCACAATGGAGGAGAAATGGAATAGTTACATAGAGGGAGAATCTCACCGCAGGTAAGCTATGCGCACCACTGGCGCCGGCGTTGCTGACCTTAAGATCAATTCTTTGCTTCATTGTTGTGAGTGGTTTGTGGTCGGTGGCATACGAGCCGATCGTCAATGTCCTGGACTTTCCGTTCAGTCTGATCGAATTCCCCTGGTCGGAGACCTTGTGGAATGCTCGTTCAGCCGTCCAATGGCATGCACTATATCAGAACCCTCGAAGTCGATCGCCGGGCAGCTGGTCAGAAAATGTGGAGGCGCTGCTGTTCGGCAAACCCCAGCCATTAAACGGTCTGGCCTCTCTTTGTCTTGTAGTCGGGCTCCTACTCTACATAGATGGGCTCCGACGGGAAGCAGTTCTCGACGCGGTCGAGATAAACTCATACCTGCAGCATGCTTTAGATCAATGGTTTCAAATCCATGACCGGACGAGCCTGGAGAACCTGGCCCTCAATCATCTCTGCTATCCGGCTGCTTATTATCTGCGCATCTCACTTGTGTTGGACATCCGGCAGACAATGGACCTCATGCGCAGTAAGCAGTTTGCAGCCATGCGAAAAGTACTCCGTGAGGGTGATCTAGTGCAAGCGGCTGCCTTTGCGCGAGCCGCGATGATTCCGTGGGTTATCAGCCGCCGGAATCAGACGTCCATGGCCGCTATCCCATGCGGTAAGTCATTTCCTTTGTATAGTAGAAATATATTGACTTTCCAGGCGTGGTTATCGCCGAGTGGGCTATTGACGTGATGGACAACCAGTCCGAGGATTCGCCTCAACGGGAAGTGCTCCGGGGGTTTGAGAACTCGATTCGCGAATATTGGCCTGTAGCACCCTTTGTAACTGCTGTGGATGTCTGGAGGGCAGTTCGGAGAATTATTTCCAATGGACCAGGTATGTCGCCAGTCCTCCCGGTTCGCATTACTAACAGCTACAGTTACAACGGCTTTAACAAGGAGTATGGACGAATACGAGATGTCTCTGGCATTAGCTTAATCAAGGGGAGAGGATTTAATTTTGAACCAATAGAAAGTGTAAACTTGCATAATCAAATCACCTTGCATCATGCCATGCTCGGCAAATCAATACGAGTCTCTGGCAGCTGCTGATAAATCGCATCTGTCAAGAATACCGGTATTAAACTTCACTACTGACGCCAGCCACGCCACAGCCAAGACCTGGCAGGCTGGGCCACTGGAATGGCAGATGGGAAGCGGAATAGCCCCGTCAAGAGCCACCTGGTAATCCAGCCCACGGCGGGAATACCCCACAGTCTGGGGTAAAAGTTGGGGTAAGCGATCAACACGGGGAAACAGGAATCCATCGATATAAGTAGATCTCGACACCCTACATCTCATCTTCTTCCTTCATCATGGTTGTTGCATCTCATGTACTAGCCACCATGTACGCAACCGACACCGATATCGAGAAACCCACCACAATGGGCGTCGAGCACGTGGCCGAAACACCCGTGTCCTCTGTCAACGAAAAACACTTGCAGGATGCGGAGCAAATCCCTCACTTCACGCCTGAGCAGGAGAAACGGGTCCTCCGCAAGATGGATCTGCGGTTGATTCCCATGCTGTCTGTTTTGTATCTATTGGCCTTTCTGGACCGCGGCAATATTGGGAATGCGAAGATCGAAGGATTGGTTGAGGATCTGGGCCTAACGTCGCAGGAATATAGCTGGTGTTGTATGTTTCACTTGGCTTAAGAGTTGCGCAATTTCGCTGACGGTATCCAGTAACGGTGTTCTTTTTCACGTACTGCGCGTTTGAGATGCCGAGTAATCTACTGCTCAAAAAGTTGCGGCCGTCGAGATGGTTGCCGTTTTTGATGATTGCTTGGGGGATTGTCATGGTATGTTTGCCGCGATTGGGTAAAAGCACCTGGCTGATGAGATAGACATTGATGGGCGTTGTTCACAACTATGCTGGGCTTTTGTCCGCGCGTATCTTCCTCGGCGTTGCTGGTGAGTTCACAGCAAAATTGATATGCAATTATCATACTGACGTGCGCAGAGGCTGGTCTATACCCTGGCACCGCCTACTACATCACCATGTGGTATCCCCGCGAAAAAGCCCAGTTCCGACAGGCTCTTTTCTTCAGCTCGGCCAGTATCGCCGGTGCTTTCTCCGGGCTTCTCGCTTACGCGATTAGTGTATGTCTCTTTGCCCTTTGCAATGGCAAAAGCTGATGGGAGAATAGAAAATGGACGGTGTGGGCGGGTATGCCGGCTGGCGGTGGATTTTCATCCTAGAAGGACTTCTCACCGTTGCGGTCGCCCTTGTCGCCCCCTTTGCGATTCACGACTTCCCAGAGACAGCCACCTTTTTGACCGAGGAAGAGCGCCGATGGGTGATTCACAAACTGCGGTCTCAATCCGGACGCGACACCACGCAAGACGGGGCGGTCCATGAGGAATCGCGCTTCCGCGTACGCTACGTGATTGATGCGTTGACGGATTGGCAGATCTATGTCGCTTTGTTTAGTATGTTTTGCACCTCTGCGTTGCGACGACTCGGAAGACTAACTGATCAGTGTACTGGGGGATAACCACCCCTCTCTACGGTATCTCGTACTTCTTGCCATCCATCATCAAGGATCTGGGGTACAAGTCTTCAACCGCGCAGTTGCTCACGGTGCCGATCTACATCGCCGCGGCCATTGTGGCTGTCGTTGCAGCCTGGCTATCGGATCGTCGCAAGCAGCGGTCTCCGTTCATTCTCTTCTTCATGTCGCTAATTGCCATCGGCTTCATCATTGTCATTGCTTCCACCGGTCGGGGAGTACCAGGGGTCGTCTACTTTGGTGTTTTCGTCGCTGTCATCGGTATGTTTTTTCTTCCCAGACAAAACAGCAATCAGTCTGACAAGGCTAGGTATCTATCCTGCTTTCCCAGGAAACGTCACCTGGCTCAGCGTCAACCTGGCGGGCGACTACAAGCGTGCGGCCGGAATGGCCATCCATATCGGACTGGGTAATATGGCCGGTGGTATGTCTCTTGTCGATGCTTCAGATAGAAAATTGCTAATTTTGCAGCCATGGCATCCAACTTTTACCGTGCGCGGGACGCACCTAGGTATATTCTGGGCCACGCATTGGAGCTGGGTTTCGCGGTCGTCGGAATCATTGCAGTGGTGATTCTGCGGCTGTCGTATCAGCGCATCAACAAGAAACGTGATCAGATGGATATTTCGGGCTATGATAATGCTCAGTTGGCCCGGATGGGCGATCGGTCGCCCCTATTCAGGTATATGCTGTGATGGGCTGTTTTCATCTGACGAGGTTATTGGTACAGTCGTCTATGTGATAATGGGCAATGAAAACTTTACAAGCAACGTAACCAAACAGACTACCTCAAAAGGAGTTCGTATTTAAGCGAGATGAATTCTGGTTGCTGAGCGATGATTGGTTGGATGAGAGCCCCTACGGACCCTGCGCTAAGCTATTCTCCTCGAAGCTTTCTACTAAAACGGAGTGGTTTCAGGCACCAGAGGGACTAGTTGTCTTGGGATATACTTAGCTGCGCTCTAAAAGCCACAGCTGAGTCCAGACTCCTTTCTGTTCTTGGCAGTGCAGATTCAGATTGCACAGGAACTGAGTGCGTGTGGGTGGCAGAGTTTTTATTGTAATTCTGTCTGTGCTTGGATTTGGCACAGTCAGTGACTAAGAGCCCATATCCTCCCCTTTGTAGAATATTTTACGTAGATGTATACAGTGTATCCACGTGAATCAGGTGTGCGCTATACAAAGATAAGCTAGTCTCCTGAATCAAGGGCTCTGGAACTGGAAGCTACTGTAAGCTAACATAGTACTCGAGACTAAGTCATAAAAAATAGTAACAACCAGAGCTGATTCGCCGTGTCTCACATGGGCTAAGGCGTTCTTCCCTTTCTTAAATGAGGCTCTCATTCCCACATTCAACTGCTTAATTCTGTCTACTTAGTACCCCTCAAACGCTGCACATCATCATGGCGGGCACCGTCTCCTTCCGCGGAAGAGACTGGATTCACTTCGGCCTGCGCATCCTCTTCTGCGCATCTGCAATCGCTCTTCTAGCCGTCACAGCTCGCCTAGCAATAGGATGGGGAGGAGACAATGAGGAACCCCCGATTGTTCTTCCCTTCGTTCTAGCCACAGTGAGCCGCACGCCTTTTTAGGAGCGACAAACACAGCTAATGACTGCAGGCGTCCCTGGCGATCGTCACAGACATTCTCGCTCTGTTCTTTCTTTTCCGGTGTATCAGCTTCATCACGACGACGGCCATCCTCGACATCCTCGTCATGATCTTCTGCGCTGCTGGGGTTGTCTCCCTTTCACAGGGGGACTTTGCTTTCTACTGGCGGCTTTACTATCATGATTACCCGCCAGTGTCGGAGCAGGCGGAGATTATCGTCTTTGCGTTGAATATTCTTGTTGCGTAAGTGTTCCTGTCACCGAGTATGAATTTGAGACTGACGAGGTGGTGGCAGATGGGAGAGAATTCTCTCGATCATTTTGTGCGCTGTCTCCCGTAGGGGGCGATTGGTGAATGAGGATGCTAAGGAAGTGCCGGTGCAGGCGCAGAGTTGCTACCAATAGTGTTCTTCTAGATGACCCTTAATACTACATGCTACATTTAATGATAATACTAGCAACTTCTGAAGAGTTCGTCTCAATTCATTAAAGTTGATTTACACCGATGTCCCCTCGGCCATGACCTGTGGCACCGCCAACCGCCGTCCCTGCTCATCACAGACCTTGACAACCCTCGGCGTAATCGCCATCCCCTGTCTTCCGGGGCGATCCCAGACAAATTCATAGGCACAGGGCTGCGCGAACAGCCACCGACCCAATTCCGCCGCGGCGGAGGCTACGGACCTCAAATGCTGGAGGCGCTCTGCCCTGGTATGCGCGGGACTGGCATAGCCGGCGAAAGTGTCGACAAATCTCTCTGCAAGCCTGTCGATAGCATGGTCATCCACGTCACGAGCGGCCTGCTGATGCTGGTGGAGGTACGCTGTCAGCGTACGCCAGTTAAATAGCAGTTGGTCTGTCTCTGTGGCGTGTCAGTTTCTCGACAATCTTGCATTGCGCAAGACGGACGCGTACCTGGTGTTTGATTCAGAACTTGCGGACATGACGCGTAACATGCAGGCAGGAGCCCCCCCTTCCCAGGCCCGGCGGTGATCTGCTGCAGTAGTTCCCGAACAAGGACATGAGTGAGGACCGCGCGAAGTCTGCCTGGTTTAGCCAGCAAGGTTGCGATGGGTGACGGCAGGTACGGGGACTCGTAGCTTGTAAGCGACGTAGCGGAGACATGCGGAGTGGATGACGCTCCGGAAGCGTAGTAGTTATCGACGTGGAGACTGGCATGGTCGAAGAGCGTGAGGATCCGCGCGCGTACTGTCTCATCATCGGCAGGCTCAGGAGTATAATGGGAGGATGCGGCTGCTCCTAGAGGCAGCAGTGGTGGATGCTGCGGTGCTTTCTCTTCGATATACTGCTCTGAACGCCCCGCGCCTGCGCCTTTTCTACGCCGACGGAAGAAGAGAAATGCAGCCAGGATTGTGAGTGCGGCGGTGCCGATGATGCTGCCGACGATCGCGCCAGCTAGAGCGCCTGTGCTCACATTGTTTGGCGATGGAGTAGGTAAACTAGTGTGCGTACTATGGGTACTCGCTGTGCTTGACGCAGTGGGGCTGGCGACTGTGCTGCTCGAGGTGAGGGAGATGCTGGAGGGTGTGACAGAGGTGGTCTGCGATGGAGTCAAGTGAGAACTTGGTGTAGATGTAGTGGTTGACACTGTTACGGAGATTGATGGGGATGTCGCAGCGGGGCTTGTCAAGGTCGGTGCTGTCGGTTCCTGACCAGATAGGGGAGAGGACGACGCCGGGCTCAACGGAGGCCCCGTTGGCGTCGTTGTCTCAGTGCTCGAGGACGGCGTCGTACTAGTGGACATTCTGTGAAGAGCTTCAGACGGATGTACGCGCGCTTTGGGATGGAGCGAGGGATTCGCGTACTCTTATGAATTCGGACTGTAACCCTGCGAGGCTGGGAGGATGCACGTCCTCGAATCTGGCTTAGTGAACCAACCCAATTCATCAAAGAGAAACCTGTCTGGATTCAACAAGGTTGTGATTTACAGTAGTTTTACTACTTCGGGGCTGGTAAACGACCCTGGCTCAGCGCTGACTCGCTAGAGCATCAACCCTGGTCAGGAGATGCTGCACCGTAGCTGCGCCGCAATTTCACTTACCCAGGGATTGCCAACGCCATGACCTTCCAGCCAAGGGTATTTTCTCCCATATCTCCAGGGGCGTAGGGTCGCAAAAAAGCTCGAGCGTGGCCAACGTTTGTCTTCTGGTTGACGATGGACGAGAAGGAAGTTGTGGCAATCCATAAACCCTGGGACGATGACTGGAGACCGGATATCGTAGTTGGGGTTGATTTTGGAATGACCTGCACAGGTATAATGTCTTCAATAAGTCTGAGATGTGTCATCGCTTATGAGGTAGCAGGAGTCGCCTATTCAATCGGCCCAGAATGGCTTCCGCCGAGGACCATCCAGCGATGGCCGGGAAAGCTCATCAGCGAGTTGGCCAACAAAGTGCCCACTGCGATTGAATATGAACCTGCTTCGCACAGCGTCAAGTCATGGGGGTTTCTCTGTAATACCGAGGATCCCGCCTCGGACATCAAGGAGTATTTCAAGCTGCACCTGGCTCCCGGCAGTCACCCAGACGGAAAGATCACACGGACAGAGGCACAGCGATGGCTTCAGGACTATATCCGCTGCATCTGCCAGCATGTTACTGCGCATTTCAGAGACACTCTTCCCTCCTTTGCGTCCTGCAAGGTCGAATGGGTATTCAGCGTTCCCACAACGTGGAAAGATGTTCGTATGGTTGAAGAAACGCGGCACCTACTGCAGCGAGCGGTCAACACTGGCAGTCCATGGATGTTGCCAGAATATAATCGCGCCGTCATTGGGCTCACTGAGGCAGAGGCTGCAGCTGTATATGCTTGCAAGGAACACTATCAGGTGAGACTATCTACGGAACCTGCGATCAATCTTGTATTAAGTGCTGCAGGTGAATGACATCGTCCTCGTTTGTGATGCAGGAGGAGGAACTACAGTAGGTAGAGCTCAATCTGTATGCATTAGTCGTCCGCCGCTGCTAACTGTGGAGGACGTAAACATTCTCCAACTCAAGTCCGGGCGAGGCGAGCCAACGAGGCTCGACCAGTTCGGCAGCGTTGAGGGTATGTTTCTCAGAAGCCTTTGACGTCTACAGCTGAACGTTGTCAGGACGACCCATTGGCTCTGTTTTTGTCGACCGCGGGATGCATAGCCTTATTTGCGAGCGACTATCCAAGGTTCACGACAGACTGGACATGTCTCCATCACACACGGCATGGAGGATGATTCTCGGTCGATTCCAAAGACTGAAATGCGCGTTCGGTACATCTGCAGCAGCAAATACCCCCAGTCTCAAATTAGATATTCCCGGCCTCAAGCCGGGTCCTGACCTCCCCGAGGCAGACATTTACGACGGCCAGATGAGCATTTCTTGGTATGTATCGGGTGCGTTCACAGATAATGTAGAAGTGGATAGCTAATCTGCCAGGGACGATTTGCAACATTGCTTTGACACCAAAATAGCCGAGATGTTTGACTTGCTCGATGGCCAAATCCGACACATGCATGATCGATTCGCAACTGAACGAATTGTAGGCCAGCCACCCTGGCTAGTCTCAGGGTTTGAACTGACGCATCTAGTCATACCTCATTCTGTCGGGTGGTTTTGGCAGCTCACCATACGTTCGAAAACGACTGATGGAAAGGTACAGCATTGAGATTGGAAATGGACACGGCAATACCACAGCCATGCGAATCTTAATGGCCGAGGAACCGTGAGTCTTGTGTCACCAACTCACCTACAGCGCTGATAACGCAAAGACAGCTTGCCGTTGTCCACGGTCTGGTCCTGGATCGCATCCAACTGCTCAAGCGAGGTGTCGTCACATTTGGATCCCGTTGCTCTCCGGTCAGCTACGGGATTATCTGCGACCAGCTTTACGTCCCAGAGAAGCACGCGGGGGAGCTTATTCGGCAAGATCCCCACGACCAGCTCAGTTATGCAATTGACCAGGTAGACTGGCTGGTTGTCCAGGTACGCAGACAATACAGTCCCCAGAACACCAACATAGGTATTAACAGCAGTAGGGCTCACCCGTTCCTGCCACCGGGTTTTCAAAGGAGTTCCAGCTGAAGCTGGAGCCCGGCCGGGAAGCCGAGACTTTCCAAGTCCACATTGTCATGTCAATGTATCCGCCCACGCTGCTCCCAAAGAGTATGTCTCACAAGGGGGTCGAGCGAGTATGCACGCTGCACATTTCGACCGAGGGAGTTGACAAGAAGCTCAAGAACCGCCACTGGTATAGCCGAAAGCCAGTCTTCTGGAAGGGTACGTTTAGCGTCAGAGTCGTGGTCGGACCGGCAGACCTGACTTTCCAATTGTGGTCCAAGGATCAGAGGATCAGGAGCAGCAGCCATCCGCCGATTGCAGTGAAATGGATGTCTGCCGGGTTTTAACTGTAGTTGATTATAAGTATGGACAAGAAGGGACGGTATGGCCTTGGACATGTGGTGTTTCTCTTTGGAAATGGATGATACTACTCGCATTTATGTACACTTGTCTGGAAGCTACCTGATTCGCTTCCACAGCCATATAACTCAAGTTGATACCACTGTAAGAAGCAAATCAAAATTGTATCTGATTCTCCCATACCAGCTTCCTCTCGTTTGCTTTGACAACAACCTTCACACCTTGTGCATGCAAATCATTTCCAGTTATCACAAAGGTCCCTGGCTCCTGATTCTCCTAGCAATAAAGAAGGTCACGAAACCTCGAACTTAAATGCAAGCAACGCAGAACTTCCCCAATGACTCATGTGGCGGTCCGGAGCCGGGGTGTCGGTGCAAGTTATGATCCCTTCAACATGAGGTTGTCAAGTCTCGTAGACTTGGACTGCAGATAATCTACCACGGCTACCAGGACCGTGTTAACGGGTATATTGTAGGATAAAGCAATAGGAGATCGCCTTATTTAGCTCCTCCGGCCGCTCCTGAACGACCCAGTGTCCAACCTATACTGAGGATCTGTGGATGAGAAACGAAACATGTTCAGCTTCCAGAGTACATGATTTAGCCATTTATAGGTGTACTAGTGTCCTTATCATATTCAGATCGCATAACACTAGCACATACGACCACAGGGTGTGGAAAACAGGGCTTCCCGCCCGCTCAGCCGTACTTAAGCTATATATTGAATGCGGTTAATTCTTAAAAAGCCTTCCTCCCCTGAAAAAGCAACCTTACAATTTTAGTGTGGGTGCTGGTGATGTAGGTAAGGGCTTTATTACTCCTCATCACCACTCTGGAAAATGGCTCGCGAGTAGTAATGAGGGGTGATAATAAGGGTTTATAAGTGGTGAAGGGCATCTTTACCAAGCAAAACATACTCTAGGCTACTGATCCAGCTGCTATTAAATAGGCTAAGAGCCCTGTTATTTAAGATAAAGTTTTTTAGTTCCTATCTTATTTAATCTCTACTAAATTATTTTGGCTGTGTACAGCGGCTTTATGGTCCGCCGTAGCCCTTGACACCAAGACCTTTGTTACGTCCCGCGGTTGTCAATAGCACATTTGTTGCTCCGGATAATTCAATTCCATGAAACTGCTCCACCTGTACGAAGGTAGTGTTTTGAGCAGCTACTATCCACAAGACCAAAAAAGGGTTCAATGACGATTTCACTTGGAATTGTCAGCCTAGAACATGCTCATATACTACTAACGCCCTAGGCCGCAGTCCCCATGACAACACCCCAAATTCTCACCCGCTTTAGCCCATTCTAGATATATTTTAGCTGCTTCTTCGGTCAATCAAGGCCATTTCTTTGCTCATTAGTGGCTATAGCCTGATTTCTAGATGCACCAGAGGATATGCTATTTAACACATTCACCCCTGTCTTTTCACGGATATCTTTATAAGATATAAATAGATTAGTATAAGTCATGCGTAGAATTATGTATCTCTGCTAGATAGCCTAGTAGGTCAGCCAGAGTAAGCAAGGCTTGCACCTTGCTCACAGAGGGGGTTTCTTCTTGAGGGTATACTGGACTGTGAATCGCGGAATTTCAAGGGTTTGACTGATAGGATAATATCCATGGCCCTTAGTTAACATCCAAACGTTTAATGATTCCGCGGCTAATATGGGCTTAGCTGATCTCCACACCCCTTTTAGGGTTAATTTCTTTGGGGCGTGCGTTGCATGATTCCATGGTAGAAAAAGCTGTAAATTACCCATAATGGTACATTTGAAGTATTCTAAAAATAGGTAGTAGACATTCTTCTGATAACAACAATTTCGAATCGTCCCAATCAAGATCACGACCTGGCTACGAACTTGACGTTATCAGGGGACTCGATTATAATTGCTATTATACGCCTGTTACTAGTATATGTAGCTAACTCTCTGAACGTCGAGCTGATCTATCTAAAACGCTAGACTGCTTTAGCCAACTCTGCATGGGTGTTGCAGGACAGCTGATCTCCATCCGCCCCTGCATGAATTGTGAAATTATTGTCGAATTCAACTTCACTTTGTGCATCTCCCTTCGTCCTTTCTTATCCTGTCCAATATTTTACCCCGCCTCCTCCTCGCTATCCCCATTTCGCAGTGACCTTGCGACCGGCTGACGACTCCGTCCCCTTCTCTTTCAAACCAAACCCTCCCCCTTTCCTGCACGCGCCATGGCGAGTGCGCGAAACGGCGTCAGCAAGGATGAATTTCTTCCCGTCTACGAGCGTCGGTCGCAACGAGATGGCGACATCTCTGGATCCGTGAAGAGCTTTGCGTCGACTATTGGAAATAGTGCCAGCGCTGCTGTGCTCGCCTACTGCCTGTCCTCCATCAGCATGACTTTGGTGAATAAGTACGTCGTTTCTGGTGCTAGCTGGAATTTGAGCTTTCTCTATCTCGCCATGCAGGTGTGTCTTTTTTTTTTTTTTTTTTTTTTTCTTAATATTTATTCGGCATCACTCGAACAAATTGAACCCTAACTTCACACAAGTCTTTCATTGGCACCGTGGCGATATTGGCCTGCAAAAAGACAGGACTCATCCAGAATCTCGCCCTATTTGACTTGAAGAAGGCCCAAACGTGTAGGAGGCTTCCGCTTAGGCCCCGTCGCATGCAAACAAACACTAAACTCAATCGCAGGGCTGCCGATTTCCCTGCTGCTGGTCGGAATGATCTATACGGGTAACAAAGCGCTGCAATTCCTCTCCGTTCCCGTTTATACCATCTTCAAGAATTTGACAATCATCGTCATTGCATACGGTGAAGTTCTCATGGTCGGTGGCGGCGTGAAGCCTCTCGCCCTGCTGTCTTTTGGCTTGATGGTGCTCAGCTCCGTTGTGGCAGCCTGGGCCGACATCCAGAACGCGACAACCGCTACCGTAGGGGCTAGCTCTGATTCAACAGCCGCGGCTCTGTCGGCTCTCAATGCTGGTTACGCTTGGATGGGGACGAACGTAATCTTCTCTGCCTCGTACGCACTGGGCATGCGCAGGGTAATCAAGAAGACGAATTTTGACAACTGGGACGGTGTGTGTATTGGACTAGTAGGCGAAGCACCTTTACTGACGGCGCGCTGATTTAGTCATGTTCTACAATAATCTGCTCAGCATCCCCATTCTGCTGCTTGCTTCCGTGCTCGCCGAAGACTGGTCTTCCGAAAACCTACAGAGGAACTTCCCTGCCGAGTTACGACAAAGCTTATTTATTGGAATCCTCTACTCTGGCGTGGCCGCCGTCTTCATCTCGTACTGCACCGCCTGGTGCGTTCGAGCCACGTCGTCTACCACCTACGCCATGGTGGGCGCCCTGAACAAGCTTCCTCTGGCTGTTGCAGGCATTGTCTTCTTCGCGGCTCCCGTCACATTCGGGAGCGTATCTGCTATTGTGCTTGGGTTTATCAGCGGCCTCGTCTACGCGAGGGCGAAGAGCACTGGTGCATAGAGGCCAACCCGTGCCTATGAGCTCTGACTGCAAACCAGTTAGCGAGGCACGACCCCGACCAATGTACGATTTACTGTAATTTTTACCAAATACTGTACATAGCCATCCCTACTGAAGGGATATCCAAGTAACCATAGTATGAATGATCCTGATGAGCGGACTACATGTGCGAGTGAGTGTTCTCATATATTCTGGAGCACAATTGATTTGGTTGTGCCCACTGGTAATGGTTCTGGTAGCAGCGGATTTTCGGTACATATAGCAACATAGGTACAGGATAACGAGGTCGGCATCAGGCCAAGACTTGGTCATTACTTCTGAAGTGAAAGTATTTTGCTCTCTCGTCGCTGTCTGGTCTGGGGATATCAGGGGATCAGGGAATCTCATGCTGGGGTTGCTGCTGTCGTTCCTACGGAGTTACGCCTCGGGACTACTCGTAGTACTGGGTAGTTTAGCCGTAAGCCCCTGCAGGGGTTGAGACTAGGGCTGTGCAGCAGCTAATAAGTACTGTAGCTGCTTGATCCTGAATCCTCCGGCGCCGTGCCGCGACGATGTAACCCCTGCTGAACATATTATTACACTACTATCGCAACTAAGCTAGGATGGTAGTCTGGATTCCCAAGGTGGCTGCTAACAGCCTGGCGTTATTGCGGCTCCACTGTGTTTTTGTATTTCAATTAGTCGTTAGATTGAAGGGTATTAAGTACACAGACTTGTCGATCGCGACCCAACATCAATTGATTGTTGCGATCTCTGGACTACCTCCACATGCTCATCATGTCGTTCAACACAGACAAGCAGCAACCGTCCTCCAAACTACCTAACATCCCGCTCTATGCCCTGCCAAATCCTGTTGATCTAAGCCCCGAAGATGACTGGACGCGTATCAAAGATCGCAAGATGAAGAAGAGGATTCAAAACAGGGTTGCCCAGAGAACCTCTCGTAACTCAAAACTTCCCAACCAGCCAGGAAGATGCGTACCTAACTAGTCGTCCACAGGCCAGCGCATGAAGTCTCGCATCGTCGAGCTCCAGGCCAGAGTAGAACAGAATGAGGGCAACCTTCCTCAAACAGTCCATGTCCACCCAAATCAGTGATCTGAAGGATAAGATCAATGCTGCGGATCCCGAAAACTTCCAAGCGGTCACTCCATGGTTTACCACCTGGCAGGACGATTTCAACGTCCGGGTTGACTCGATGATTCAAGGCATTGAGGATCCCAACCGTGAAATCGAATTGTAAGTAAACCTTGGAAGAGCACAAGGTATGAGACTTGTCATACGTGACAATCTGTTCTCATGTTTCATCTACGTTCATACTGACCAATAACAGACGATGTCGACATCTTCAGCGAAGCAGCGAGCATTGAAGCCAATGAAGATATATGCAAGATTAACCCAAATATGGGCTCTAGCAGTTATCCCATTACCTGGAAGCGTGCAATTCCACCATCATGCGCACCTGACTGGCAAGGAAACCCGGGCGAGCCTTCCAATGCAGCTAAAGTACCGGAATGGGTCGGCTGCGACACCCGATTTGGTTTTGAGTACGCTAGCAGCGCCGACATTCTCGGTGCGATGAAGCAGGGAATAAAATACTTCCTCTCCAATGCGAGGGGCGTCCCGCGCCCTGGTCAACCGATCTGGCAGACTGCCGCAAAGGCCGCATATCCCCACATCTACAGCAATAGCGACAACATTGCCTTCTCTGATGAATGCATGAATGCCGGGGATGACTATACCGGATTTATTGAGTTCCCTATCATGCCAGATGGGAGCGTATTGGAGGCAGGAAGAAATTCTCGCATTGACGTTGGTGTGCAGCGTGTTGTGTTCAAAGCCAAGGATCACAGAGACCCCGCTGCTGACGACTGGAATTATCTCTTCTGTGGTGTGATGACCCATTTCACAAATGTCCTCGAAACGCACATCATCGATGATGTGCCAAGGAATGTCTTGCCTTTCAAACTTTGTGAGGCCGCTTGCGCATCTGACGTGGTTGGGCAATGCAACTGGACGTGGGCTTGAGGGAAGAATTGTCAACAGAGGTGCGGTTTGGGACAAAAAGGCGCTCTCATTATCAGACACTAACTCGATTACGTGGTGACTGATTTTCCATGAATTTTCGACTCATCATTTATGCCCATCGTATTGATCACGTAGAATTCACATGGAGGGGCCGATGAGCAGAACAGAGCGGACAACGAAACAAGTCAAAGGTTGGCATCTTTGTGCTAAGCCTGATCCCCCGAGTTTATCCCTCGATTCTGTTGCTCGATTCCTTGCATAAGTTGGACAACCTTTCGGGCGTCTGCTCGTGTCCTTTCCATCAGCTCATCTTGCTCGCTTATCCATCGCAACCGCTTTTTCCAAAATTCCCATCTCTCCATTGACAACGATGAGTCTCCGTGCCATAGGTTGGCATCAATCAATTTTATTTTTTCGGGGAGAGACAGGTCTTTGTTTCCGATAAAACCAAATATAATGTGCCCGGCAATGTCAAAAAAAGGAACCATACCGTGCACATCAGTCTAAAATTTGCAGGTCAATCACCACAAATGCCATCATGGCTTTCATTCTCACTCACATTCAGCATTTGCATATAATCAGTAGGGCGACCAGTGTCCCGATAGCGGTGGCCTTGCCACTGCGGCGGAGGTTGTTGGGCATGGGTCCATGGATCGTGCTCGAGGGCGAATACGATCAGTCGCAATGCCACGAGTAACTCCATGTGATTGTTGGGAGATTTGGGAGGATAGGCCGCAAGATAGTGCGCATAGAAAGCGTTAGCGCTGTGGAAGTCATTCCACCCGTAATAGGGATATGGGCCGTATCTCATCTCCCAACAGCCTTGGATGAAAACGATTAGTATAGGGCCCACGCTTCGTGCCATGAGATCAGCTGCCTAGGAGGAAATCTATGAAGGGCAGGAGGATGTGCAGGTGGATATCTCCGAAATTTCAAGCCGTTATGCCACGGGAGCAAAGAGGCCGACTGCACAGTGTTGGTCTGTTAGGGGCGGGGAAAAAAAAAAAAAAAAAAAGGGCCACTCACGGGGATATGTCTCCGACCAAATGTAATCGAATGCCTCCAAGGACCTTCAGGTTTCTAGTCGGTCCTCGAAACAGCCGGTGCGGATCTGTCCTCAGTTCGTTCCAGCTGAGGCAGGGCGCGGATCGCCTCAATTAACTTGAGAATGGCAGGCTGGTAGCGCGGCATGCCGATAGCAGCATCCCATAATAACCAGGAGACGCGTTCGCCTTTATCCACGACGTTGCTCTGGCGCTTCTCGACCACGCGGCGCTCGTCGACGAGCGACATTAGTTGGCGAGCAGCATCCTCTGCTGCAATGGCGTTGGCTGTGCCGAAGGACTCGGCAAATTCTCGCAGGGTTTGAATTTCGTCCAGAGTCGGAGGGTCTTCCTCGTCCGGGTCCGGATGGGAGAAGGGAGAAGCGTTCCCACTCAGTGTAGTCGTCTCTCATGGATGGCAACGTTGGACGCCAGTTTTGAACGGGTGTTGCAGATGAAGAAGCCAGGGACTGTATCCTTCCGCCTTTTTAAATGGTTCACGCTAGTGACCAATTCTGGAAGTGGATCCAAGTTCACTGGGCGCCTGGCTAGCGTGTTTTGATAGAAATCTTACACCTGATATGATTACGCTTCTAACCAAGAATTTCTCGGGAATCTTTCGGCACTACAGAGGCATGTCGTGTTGTGGTGTGCGGGCAGTGGGCTAAAGAAGGTCACGAAACCTCGAGCTAAAATGCAAGCAACGCTGAACTTTCCCCAATGACTCATGGGCGGTCCGGAGCCGGGGTGTCGGTGCACGTTAAGATCCCTTCAGCATAAGGCTGTCAAGTCTCGTAGACTTGGACTGCAGATAATCTACCACTGCTACCAGGACTGTGTTAGGCGGGTATATTGTAGGAGAACGCAATAGGAAATCGCCTTATTTAGCTCCTCGGGCCGCTCCTGAACGATCCAGTGCCCAATCTATACTGAGGATCCGTGGATGACACACGAAACAAGACATGTTCAGCTTCCAGAGTACATGATTTAGCCAATTATAGGTGCACTAGGTGCCTTATCATATTCAGCTCTCACAATCTCATCACATACGACCATAGGGTGTGGAAAGCAGGGCTTCCCGTCCGCTCAGCCGTACTTAAGCCACACGCCGGCCGGTTAGTAGTTGGGTGGGTGACCACCAGCGAATCCCGGCTGTTGTATGTTTTTTGTCTTTTTGTTATATTTTTTGACGTTTTGATGGCCCTGACGGAAGTGATGAAGACGGTCCATTGTAGAGGAATTGCAGTCTAGTCCCCTATAAGAGTTGCGTGGCCAGAAACAAGGCCCAGCACGTGACGCGTTAACCCTAACGCATCTAGCAGAAAGACTTGGAGACAATATACATTGGCGTAGCCAGATGAAGGGGGTTGTAGATGGGCAGTAGTTGCTTTGGGTGTCTATACTTGCTGTATCCTGTGAGTGAAAGAAGAGGGAACACAATATCAGCTTCCGGAGTGTATGATTTAGCCACGCTTGGCATCACTGATATGCCTTTGATTCTATTCAGTTATACTGGTTCTAGCACATACGACCACAGGGTGTGGAAAGCAGGGCTTCCCGTCCGCTCAGCCGTACTTAAGCCACACGCGCTATGCCCATGCTAACAATAAAATTGGCTTGGTTCGATGGAGAAACGGGTGATCGCATGGGCTTAAACTCAAACACCCAACTCAATGCTATTTACATCCCTCATTCAATCTGATTCTAATATCAACTATGTAATCTTTCTTCCTAGGTATTTCACGCACCCAAAAATAGCTCAATCTGCTTCGCGTAGATCTCCGGAACCTGGTAGAGATGGCCGTGGCCTGCGTCCGGGTAGAGATGCAGCTGCGCGTTACGTAGCTGCTGCAGTAAGATGTAGCTGTTGGAAGTCGGGGTCATGATGTCGGCTTTTCCATTGGTGACCAACACGAGCGTGTCGACTTGCTTGAGCTTTTCGAAAAGCTCAGTGTCCGCGGCAAACTTTCCAATCGCGGCCTGCTGCGTTGCGGCACCAGCTTGGTCAAGGAACCCGCGCCATTGTTCACCCTCGACCTGACGCTCCTTTGTTCTCTCGAACCACGCATGGCCGAGCGCATGGCTCGTGGAAGACGGGTAGAAGAAGAGTTTCATCATATCTTCTTCGGAGGGCACGGCTACACCAGCAATTTCCATGATCTCAGGATCTCCAAAGACCACCCCTTCCGTGTAACTCGACTGAGTTCCCGCGAGAATCAGCTTATTTACCAGGCGCGGATGGCTAACAACGATGTATTGGGCAATCATGCCACCCAACGAGAAGCCGAGGATGTCGACTTTCGAGACGCCAATGCTGGTGAGAAAATCCACGACCGTTGAGCCCATCGCTTCGAGGGTGTCTTGGACAGCGCCTTCACTGTGGCCAACACCAGCATTGTCGAACAGGATCACCTCACGATTTTCGGCAATGCTATTGATGAGCAATGGATCGATCAGGTCCATGGAACCGCGGAAATGAGTGAGGAAAATTAGGGGAACACCACCCTGTCTTCCGAAGCGTCGGTAGCCAAGTTTCACCCCCTTGACGGAGGCAAAGAGCGTCGGAGTAGCTTGAAAAGACATTGGAAGGGTTTGGTATGCTCTTTTCTTTTCTCTCTTTAAGAGATGGAGCTCGTGTACGAGTAGAGGATCAAATGACAGGAAGACCGGTGATCTAGATTGAGCGACTCGGAAAGGGTTTATATATGAGGACTTGTACGCAGCATGCTTTCAAGCATTGCGCCGTGAGCAGCGCATCATTCGAGTCTAGTCTCTCGGCGCCATATCCATTAACTCCGTACATTTTCCTAGAAAAATATAAAGCCTGGTCATCAATTGAGGCAGAAACACTTTTGGTTAAATCCGTACCCAAGCTTCGGGGCGTTGAATAATCATGAATTAGTAATGAAGACATCCGGCGTCATGATGTGGGCCGTGGAAAGAGTTTTGTCGTACACTCCGGGCCCACTCTATGCAAGTTGGGTACAGACTTGGAGCCTTTTTTTTAAGTCTAAATGAACGTACACGGAGAAGAGAACTAAAGTTCCTGTCTCAGAAGAGCAGTCCCCCCACCCTACGCATCCGGTGGCCATTGAAGGTGGCAATGCACTGCGCTCAGTATTCAGTAGTGAATAAAAATCTCAGGCCATACAAAGGCTCAAGTCTCATTTGAGATTTCTTGAGGGTTTGTCTTTGCTTAGAGACCTGTTTAGGGGTCAAGGCCATCGGCCTCTTTTACCTATACTGGCATCTCCCTTCCGCTCTGTTCTCCACCACTTGTACAATAACTTCGTGTTCCACATAGTTTTTAAACTAAACCCAATGGACAGAAAATGACTTCCAGGCGTAATTGTATATTATACGGGTAGAGACTTAATAGCGACACAGCGACCACCAAGTGCAAAGCTAGGTGAAAAGAGCCAAAGCGAATCAGGAGCAGCGTATTATTGAGTACAATCTGAGTGAAAAATACCAAAGTTGTCCAAGGAGAAGACAAAACAATGGCAATCACGACCATGGAATTACAGGAACAAGCAGAAGATACAGACGGCGACGGTGGTGGCCACTCATCTCAGTAAAGGCCCTTATAAGGTCACTTGCCAGCGTGCTGATTTTGCCACGACAAATAGTGATCTTTCAGCAGCTGCTCCGCTAGACGGTATGAGAGACCCAGCTCCCTGATACTCTTGCTATTGTCGACCTTGTAGGAGATGCCGATGTTTCGTGACACCCATTTCATGGGCAGGCCGATGAAGGGTGCTGCGGCGAAGATGAGAAGTTTCGGAAGACTGCGCGTGGGCAACGATTCGGGCTTGCGATGGATATCCCTCACGTAATTTGCCATATCCAGCAAACAAATGCTGCGGTCGCTCGCGATGATGTACCTCCCCTTGGCAGAGGGACTTTTTCCTGCTCTGACGTGCGCCTCGGCCACATCCCGCACATCTGCCATAGGGTAGTGTAGCTCCGGAACGCCCGAGCGATTCTCGCCCTTGTACATAGCGTCCAGCATGAACAGGCTACCGGATGCAGATTCGGAGGTGAGTGACGGGCCGAGGACGAGGCCCGGGTTTATAGCCACAAGGTCCCAGCGTTCCTGAGCGTCACATATTTTCCAGGCCTCACGCTCGGCGACGAGCTTAGAGTAGCTATAAGGACTGTAGGTGGCAGTGCTCGTCGTATTCCAATAGTCTTCCGACAATGTCTTGTCCTTCATCTTGAGGATATCCCAACTATCACCGTACATGGCGGCGACTAGTTCAGGCGTTATGGATTAGACATACGCGTAGAGAAACGGATCGGAAGTTCCACTTACTGGATGAGGTTAAAACAACGCGTTTAACGCTCTCGGTCTTGTTCACAGACTGTAGCACGTTATTCGTGCCTCGAAGAGCAGGCTCGACGCATTCTTTCATGCCGTCTTTGATCTGTTGTGGGACTAGGAACGGCGAGGCGACGTGGTAGACCACCTCACAGTCCTCCATCGCTAGCTGAAACGAGCCATCCTTCATCAAATCAGCCTCAAAGAGATTCAGTCTGCCTGGATACATCTCTTGCATATCTAGCAGGGGCTTGCACTTCGAAGGGTTCTTCAGGCTGCGGACAGTGGTGTTGACGAGGTCACCCCTTTCGAGCAGACGCTTTACCACGTGAAGGGCAATGAAGCCGGAGCCTCCTGTAACAAGCGATTTTTGCATTGCCGCCGTCTTCAATTTGTGCACTCTCACTTCACAAAGTACCAAATCTTGGCTGCAGATGGGTGTCCAGATATCGTTTGCTCACTTTGATGGTTCCTCTCCTCACTTTGATGGTTCCTCTTCTCATCATGACGAAGAGTCCTTTTATCGTCGCCAGGAGAAAAAGATCGCCGGAGATAAACGAATGTAAGCAGATATATAACATTTGTAGTTCAGAAGAGGTCTTCAGATTAGCGGCGTCAGCAGGACTTGAAGACTGAAAGACGGATCAACCAGGAGGGGGCGCTACATGGCGATCTGGATGGTAAAGGCCGGAGATAAATTGCGATTGGAGTAGAACACGAGAACTCCAAATCAGTTTGAGAGGTACGATACGGCAACACCCTACGAATCAATGAGCCTGTACAGCTTCCTATCGCCGTTCCCAGCCCTGTCACCTAGGTTGGAGGGAGGAGTCGCAGGAGATGCTTGGTAATCCACTAAGCTTAACGTAATCCACAAGCGAGCGAGACACCCAACCGAGCGAGACACTCAACCCCTGGAAATCTTACAACCACCACCGAATCATCATCAAATCCAGCCTTTTATCCAATATGGCATCAAAACCAGCAGACTCAAGCATTAAATTAGAAGATCGCACATCTCTTGCAGTCAATGCATATAAAAATGGTCATTTTAAAAGTGTACGAGCGGCAGCAGCAGCATATGACGTCCCACATTCCACTCTAGCCCATCGCATTAATGGTCGAAAGGCACGAAGCAATATACCAGTGAACTGTCAGAAGCTTACCAATCTTGAAGAGGCCTCATTAAAGAAGTGGATTCTGGATATGGATGATCGCGGCCTACCCCCAACTCAAGATATTGTACGCAAGATGGCAGATTTACTACTATCTGAGCGGAAATCAGGTCCATCTACCAGCATTAGAAAGAACTGGGTCAGCAACTTCATCAAACAGCATGATGATCTTACATCAAAATATACCCGCAAATATGATTATCAGCGTGCAAAATGTGAGGATCCTGAGATTATCAACCAGTGGTTTAATCTTGTTCAGAACACCATAGTAAAATATGGTATTCTTGAACAGGATATCTACAACTTTGATGAGACTAGCTTTCAAATGGGTGTAGCTCATACAGCAAAGGTCATTACTGCATCCCGCCATCGAACAAGCCGCGTATGAGCTGTACAGCCAGGGAATCGTGAATGGGTTACTGTCATTGAATGTATCAATGCTTCTGGGTGGCCTCTGCCCCCTATGATTATCTTCTCTGGCAAGGTCCATCAGTCTCAATGGTATCAAGATATAAACCCTGACTGGCTGATTGGTGTGAGCAATAATGGATGGACTAATAACAGGCTTGGCTTATCATGGTTGGAAAAAGTCTTTGAGAAGCATACTGCATTGCGCACACTTGGAAAATATCGGCTTCTGATTCTTGATGGCCATGCAAGCCATGAATCTGCAGAGTTTGACCTATTCTGCAAGAATCATCAAATCATCCCTTTATATATGCCTTCCCATTCGTCTGATAAACTACAGCCACTTGATGTTGGCTGCTTTGCACCCCTAAAGGAGGCATATGGTGCAGAGGTGATGCGCAGTATTCAAAATAGCATTCATCATATCAACAAAGAGAACTTTCTGGATCTCTATAAGAAAGCACGGAAAGCATTATCACCTTCTAATATCAGCAGTGGATTTAGGGCTTCTGGACTAGTTCCATTGAATCGTCGACAGGTGTTAGATAGGCTTACTATTAAGTATATCACACCACCCTCTACTGCTCATGGGCCTTTAGATGGAGACAGGGAATGGACAGCAAAGACTCCTTACACTACTGCTGAGGTACAAAAGCAGATGCAGCTTATCAAGCAACTTATCAGTCGCAATTCTGAAAGCCCACCGAATGAAGCAGTTCGTCAGCTAGCAAAAGCAGCCGAATCCACCATGCATGAAGTCATTCTATTACGACATCAGATGACTGAGCTCCGCGCAGCAAATGAAAAGCAAAAACGGAAGCGTACAGCTCTAAGATCTTTTATTGCTACTGGGGGTGTTCTGATAGGATCTAAAGGTCAGCAACTTGCTCAAGAAGCCATGCAGGCAATGGACTTGGTGGAATCAGTTCCTAGAAAGCGTGCGCCACCACAATGCAGTAATTGCCATCAAATTGGTCATATTAGAACCAGCTGCCCTAGTAGATCTAGATAATTCGAAAATTTATATTGATCTGATTGTGTGGTAGTAAGATATCTACAAGGTATTCAGCATCGCCCAGAATTAGGTTTTGCTGTCTCGCTCGGTTGGGTGTCTCGCTCGCTTGTGGATTACGTTAACTTAACGTAATCGGTAAACGAGCGGGCCATGTAGGCCAGCGGGCCACCTCTATATGCCATAGAAAATGGCACGTCTTTGGACTTCAATATCTCAACCAAAGCACCTATTAAGAGCCTAATGGTAAGGCATGTAGATTATTATGCTATTTAATATTTATAGAGGCTTTCATTATGTCTTAACAAATACTAATATCTTGAGTAATATAAATTACAGCTGTTATTTTCATACTTTAAGTAATTTAAGAATATACAGTAGAATTCAATTTTTAAAATTTTTGAAAAAATAATTTCTGAACTATTTATACTTAGTTATACTATATATCTAAATTACACTTTATAATATTCATCTTTGGGTGAGATATAGAAGTCTTCAAAAGGGCCCTTTTCTATGGAATACAGAGGTGGCCCGCTGGCCTGCATGGCCCGCTCGCTTACCAATTACGTTAGTTATCGAAACTGAGGCCACTATGTGTGATTAGTGATCAAAGTGCTACACCGCGGTAGGGGAGTGAGACGGACCCACACCACATTAAATGCGACAA